AACTTTTGGTACTTCATAAATTTGTTTGATTAAATTTCAGCTTGAACATTATTATCTCATTTGCCGATTAATGTTCGTTCAAACTAAGTCTACATTTAGATGTTCTTATATATTTAATTATTTCATGCAATGTCTCACCTATTTATAATAATCAGACTGCGGAGGTGATGAAGAGATCCAACTCTGGTGGGCTGGAAAAGAACTAGTAAGGGGAAAGAAATTATCTGAATATACCGGTGAAAACGAGAAAACAAAGGTTGCCATATTTCACCTCATAACTCGATTTCTGTTTCCTCTAGATGAATAATTAGTCTGAGACAAATGTAATCATTGACAGATCATAGTCAGATTGAAGCCAGCTTGTTCAGATTAACAGCATCGCACTGTAAGAGTTTCGCTTGACTTGCTGTGGGATTTATAAAGATCTAAGTTGTCAAATATGTGTTCATAATCCAACTTACATGCTTTGTGTAGCCTAAATGCCTCTTTATGTTTTTAACTCTCTCTTATATATTTTTGGTATAGTTAAAGTCACAGCAATATCTTGATCAAGTGAAAAAAAAGGAAACGAAGTCTACTTATCAGCAAAAGTGTGCTACTCGCTTGAGCCTCCTATATTGTAACACTGAATTAATGCCTGTTTATATTTTAACAGTGTAGTGTGTATTCATAGAGGCCCTGTTTGGCAAATGGTTAAGTAAGAGGGGTTAACGAGAAGGATTAATGTACTTAGCCCATTCGATAATCTGAATGACTAAATTATTAACCCGTTAAATAAGTTTTATTTTAGTCATTGTGATTAGTTTTAGTGTTTGAGAATAACAATGATTTTGACAATTTTCTTTATAATTAGAAGGGTTAACTCTTAATCTTTCTAAATAGGAGTATTAATAAACCCCTCATTTTGAAGGGTTAACTCATTTTAATCCCTCTAGAGGGGTTAGCTTAACCCTTTTATATTTTTTATATTTGACAAATTATGAAGGGTTAATCCATTTTAACCATTGTATAGATTTTTTGTGTTTGGTGGTTAAGTGAGGGATTAAAGAAGGGGTTAAGTCTCTTAACCTCTCACTTAACCCTTTGCCAAACGATACCATGTAAGATTTCTGATAATGTCATTGATATTTGTTATAATCTTCACTTTATGTAAGATTTCCGTTTTTTTGTTATTGTGGATGGATTGATATAATTTATCGTTTAACGTGAAAATTGTGACGTGCAATTTGTTGCTCCCGAGAATATTACTGCAGCTAAAAACTTGGCAACTATAGTTTTCCTATATAGTTCATGTTTCTTTATGTGATTTGTCAGAGCATGGGCAGCAAGCTCCCAAGCCCGCTCTCAGCTCCGACGTGGACACCTTCTCCGATTTAACCCCCTCCAACAGCCTCCGAAGCTCTCCTAACCTGCTCTCAAGCGCTGACGTGGAGGTGGAGAGCTTCGGAGCTCCCAAGCGCTCCACAAATTTGTGGAGCGCTTGGGAGCTCCCAAGGTGCCAGATTTTAACAACCTCCCCCCACCCAACAATACACCTTCGCAGATCTGCCCAAAAAAGAAGCAAAAATCCAACGGGAGATGAAGAGGCGCCGGAGATGTGGAAGAGGAGGGGAAACAAAGATGATTTAGGGAGAAGAGGCCTCCGACTGGATAGAAGATGAGGCGCCGGAGATGTGGAAGAGGAGGGGAAACAGGTGGATGATTTCAGGAGCTTGGTGTTCGCGGAGATGAGGCCTCCGACTGGGTAGAAGATGAGGTTGTTTGAGGCCTCCGACTGGGGGAGAAGATGATGCCTCCGATTGGGGTTGGGATTTGGGGATTTGGGGTTGGGATTTGGGGAGAAGATGAGTGTTTTGAATTTATTTTAATCGGCTGAGTTGTGTCACTGTTTGAGGTTGAGGTCGAGGTGGGGATTTCAATTTTTTAATTGGTTGAGTTGTGTAGCTGACATGAGGTTTTTAATTGTTTGAGGTTGAAAATTTACCGATGTATAAAAATTTTACCGTTGTAAAATCATGCCGTTGAAAATTTTACCGTTGTAAAAAATTTTCTATAAATTCGTTGGACTTCACTACACAACTCATTCCACACAACTCTCTCATAAAAAAACTCTATATTTTCCTATCAAATTACAAATTTCATGGATCCCTCCCAAAACAACTACTTTTCGCAACTCCTTACCGGTGAAGGATCGACCTTATACTCGCCGTTCTATACAGAAGTCGTAGAAGAAGGTCATCCCATCGAGTTATCGCAATCCGCAACACAACAAGTGTCATCCCAAGAAACACCGACCACAAAGAAGAAGAAGGCTTACACGCGGTCCGAAAATTGGGCTGTCCACGAGGATAAGCTTCTTGTGTCTGCTTGGCTGTACACGAGCCAAGACGCCATCTAAGGCACAGGGCAACACAAAGATAAGTTCTGGCACAGAGCTAACGACTACTTTATCCAATACTCCACCGATCCAACGAGTCGCACACCAAACCAAATGATGCACCGTTGGTCAACGATTCAACTGTCGGTCAACAAGTTCTGCGGGTGCGTTGCTCAGATTGAAGGAAGACAAAGATCTGGTACGGGAATTATTGACCAGGTAAATATTTAACTTATATGTTTTTATGTAAATATTTAACTTATATGTTTGATTATTCTAAATTTAACTCTTGTGTAGACTGCAGAAGTAAAAGAATTATACCAATCCCTTTATGGTAAGCCATTTGTGTTGGACCATTGCTGGGTTGAGTTGCGTCATCACCAAAAATGGAACCAACAAATGGAAACTTACAATAAGATTCGATCACAGCCGAGAAGAACCACAAACTCTGATTCCTTACCAAACAATTCCATGCCAGCGACCCCCATCGAGTTGAACATTGACTCGGATGATGTTATAGCAAGGCCTGAAGGGAGGAAAGCGGCGAAACTCAAGAGGAAACAAAATGTGGACAAAGAAGAGTCCGCTAAGTCCATTATGGGAGAGGCTTTCGCGTGGATGAAGCAACTACTTTATTGAAAAATTTATGATTGTACTTGAAGTTGAAAAATTTGGCATTGAATGAAAACAACTACTTTATTGAAAATAAAATTGGCGTAGTACAACAACTTGAACTCCTTTTCTGAAATTACATTAGACATAAAGAAACTTAATCCTCGGCGATGGATCCCTTAAGCTGCCACAGATGCTCGATCAAATCATTTTTTAGTGATTTGTGTGTTTGCGTGTTCCTGATCCGATGATGATTTTGGATGAACTCAGTTAGAGGCCCCGTCTGCACATGAGAAGGTTCAATGACTGGTACCGAATCGGTAAAGTCGAAGTTGTTGTCCAATTGACAATCACGTTCATCTTCAACGATCATGTTATGCATTATGATACAAGCTGTCATGATATCTTTCAGCACACAAGGTTGCCAGAAACGTGCTAGTCCACGAACAATCGCAAATCGAGCTTGCAACACGCCAAAAGCTCGCTCAACATCTTTTCTTGCGCTTTCTTGTTGTTGAGCAAAGTATTTATGCTTATTTCCTCGTGGTGCTGGAATAGTCTTCACTAATGTGGACCACTCTGGGTAAATCCCGTCGGCGAGATAGTATCCCATATTATACTCGTGGCCATTGACAGTATAGTTGCACGGTGAAGCTCTTCCCTCCGCAAGTTGTGCGAAAACCGGTGAACGATGTAGAACATTAAGGTCATTGTGAGACCCCGGCAGTCCAAAGAAGGCATGCCATATCCAAAGATCTTTGCTAGCTACGGCCTCCAAAATAATTGTGGGTTCATGAAAATGTCCAGTATACATACCTTGCCAGGCAGTTGGACAGTTCTTCCATGTCCAGTGCATGCAGTCGATGCTCCCAAGCATACCAGGAAAACCTCGTTGTGAGCCTTCCTCGAGCAGGCGTGCAACGTCTTCATTAGTCGGTGCATGAAGGTATTCCTCTCCAAAGATGTTGATAATCGATCGAACGAACCTCTTCACGCTCTCAAGCGACGTACTTTTACCGATCCGAACGTAGTCGTCAACGGAGTCAGCGGATGCTCCATATGCGAGCATCCGCATAGCTGCAGTAATCTTTTGAAGACTAGATAGTCCTAACTGTCCAGCACCATTCCTCTTTTGGACGAAGTACTTGTCATGTTCGACGACTGCGTCGTGGATTCGAAGGAATAACGAACGCCTCATTCTGAACCTTTGACGAAAATAATAAAGAGGATAGGTTGGTGCGTCAGCAAAATAATCTTGGAATAACCGATTGTGGCCTTCCAGTCGGTTTCGATGGAGCACGATACGTCGTTTGTGTTGAACTAAAGTTGAACATTTCTCTTGTTCTTCTTCCTCAACGACATCAACTCCCATAAGAAAGAACGTCTTTATCATTTCATCATCGCTAGAGCTAGATGAGCTAGACATTTTATTCTGGGAGATGATGGGTTGAGGAGAGAAGTCATCGAATTTTATAGGAATCAGTCGGTTGACGGTCAAAGTTTGCGATACCTCGAACTTCGTGCCCAACCTCGAAGACCGCGGGTTACCTCGAAGACCATGTGCGTTACCTCGAAAGCCGTGGGTTACCTCGAAGACCGTGTGCGCTCCCTCGAAGACCGTGGGTTGCCTCGAAGACCGTGTGCAACGGTTAGAAATAAAATACAATAGGTTTAAATATAATTAAAAGTAATGGGTGAAATATTAAAATAGAAGAGGGTTTTTTTTTATATTGTTGGAGCTCCTAACTAGGAGCTTGTTGGAGCTCCATAAAAGAAGGAGTGCCTCCCAAGGTATAATTTGTTAATTTTTTATTTTAAAAAGCTTGAGAGCTCTTGAGAGCATGTTGACTAGGACTCCCAACTTGGAGCTTGCGGGTATTCTCCGTAAAAGAAGGTGTTGATGTATGATTAAAAATGAGTATTTTCCGATAAGTCAGCCGGATGGTTGGAATAATGAAGCCTCATTTACCATATTTGCTATATCCACTCCTAAACAGTAATTTTGGGAGTTGGATTGCCGAAAATGCCCTTTGATGTTGAGGGTGTTTCTGGAATGGACTTGGCATGTTTTGGTTTGGGAGAAGGGCACTTTAGTTCTCACACACCCTCAAAGTTACTGTTTGGGAGTGTCTATAGTTGGACCCCTCATTTACCCATTTATTTTCAGACGAGGCAGCTTGTTACAATAAGCCTCAAGAACAACCTATCTGCCTAATCGACCGTCCATCTCCCCGACATCAAAGCCCGTTCTGATACAGAAACTATTTTAACTTATCCTCCTCCGCGAGTCACATTACGTACCTCAACGACTCCGAAAGTCCGAAACCCCATTGGCCTCCATGATCCCACAGGTAGAGTTCCGCTCCATTCCCTACTTCGCAGGGAAAAAAAGAAAAGATCAAACAACCCCGAAAAAATCACAAAAAAATCACCAAAAAAATGGAAACCCCCAAACCCCTCATCGTCTTCCTCCTCTCTCTCCTCGCCGCCTTCGCCGTCGCCGAGATCAAGGGACTCCAATCGTCACCGCCCCCGCACCCCCCCCCGCTCCCGCCCTGAATCTCCTCGAAAAAAAATGTCCTCCTTCGCCTTCTCATGCTCAGACGGCCGACAACATCGCCGTCCGACGCGTGTCTCCTCCTCCGCCCCGTCGACCATTACCCTCTCGTGCTTCTCGTCTCCTCGCCTCCAACCTCAAAACCCTAGCCGTCCCCTCCCAGAACCCTAGCCCTAACCCTAGCTCATCCTGCGTCCTCTCGCGCCCTTACATCCGCCTCCTCTTCACTTTCCGCGACCTCTCCCCTCCCCACTTCAACTCCTACAACCGCACTTTTCCGATCGCCATCTCCGACGACGACGATCTCTTCTTCGCCAACTGCGTCCCTGGTTCCAAAGTCTCGATGTCGGTCCGATCCGTTCTCTACAACCTCTTCCCCGATGGATCTCGCGATTTCTTACCGGTCGGCCGAGCTCCGGTCCCCACCGCGTGCGGCCTTTTCTCACTGATTTACGTCGCATTTTCCGTAGTTTGGGTTCATTTCGGTCTAATCAGAAACCGGAGCTCCGCTCATGGGATTCATTATTTGATGGCTGGATTGCTGTTTGCCAAAGCTCTGAATCTTGTGTTTAAGGCTGAGGACCAGCACTATGTTAGGATCACCGGAACTCCCCATGGATGGGATGTTCTCTTCTACTTGTTTCAGTTCATTAAAGGGGTGCTTTTCTTTACTGTTATTGTGCTCATTGGGACCGGGTGGTCGTTCTTGAAGCCGTTCCTTCAGGACCGAGAGAAGAAGGTCCTGATGCTTGTGATTCCGTTGCAAGTCGTTACTAACATTGCTTCGATTGTGATCGGGGAGACCGGGCCTTTTATCAGGAACTGGACGACCTGGGTTCTGGTGTTCATTTTCGTTGATGTAATGTGCTGCTGCGCGGTCTTGTTCCCGATTGTTTGGTCGATTCGCTCGTTGAGGGAGAACTCGAAGAGCGATGGGAAGGCGGCGAGGAATCTCGCCAAGCTCGTGCTTTTCAGGAGGTTTTATCTTTTGGTGATCGGGTACTTGTACTCTACGAGGGTTTTCTTGGTTCTCTTGAGGGCGGTTTTGTCGTACAAGTATATATGGGTTTGCTTGGTCGTCGAGGAGGGGATTAGTTTGGCGTTCTATGTGGTGATGTTTTGGATGTTTAGGCCGAAGGTGAAGAATGAGTACTTGGCTTTGGACGACGAAGAGGAGGAGGCGGCGGTGGCCATGGCGGTGCTGAGGGAGGAGGAAGAGGACATATAAATGCATAA